CCTCTCCCCGCGGCCGGGCCCTGGGAAGGGGAGGCTGAGGCTGCGGGGCGGTAGGCTTGTCCTCCGGGGATCAGCCTCCGAAGAAATGCAGACCCTCCTTCGCCCCGTAACAGGTGGATGGCCCCGTAGTTCACAGGCTGTGTGTTTCTATTCTAGACTCACATTGAAGGCTCTTGGTCTCTCTTGCAGCGAAGATCAAACACACGCAAAAGCAGTGGTTCTCAACCTTCTGGCCCTTTAAATACAGTTCCTCATGTTGTGACCCAACCATAAAATTATTTTCGTTGCTACTTCATAACTGTAATGTTGCTACTGTTATGAATCGTAATGTAAATATCTGATATGCAGGATGGTCTTAGGAGACCCCTGTGATAGGGTCGTTCCACCACCAAAGGGGTCGCGACCCACAGGTTGAGAACCGCTGCTCAAAAGTAAACGCTCTGGGGTGATAAGGACACATTATGTAATACCTCAATCAATCAATCAATAAGGTAAACACTCAACTTTTCATTCTGCATAGTCTCAGGCTTTTTACATGTTCCCAACCCAGAAAACATCAAACCTACACTCGTGGCAGATCATGGGAGAATTTTTAAAGAAAAATATTGACATGTCCAAAAATGTAGCAAGATAATCAAGCACCCTGTGGGCTGGTGCACAAGCAGGGTGTTGGGAGCTGAGTTCCAATCCCAGTCCTAGAATTGCCCCCTCACTAGCTGTGTGCTCTTGGGCCAGTTCGTTGAGCTCTCTGAGCCTGCATCTCTCCATCTCTATGAAGGTAAAGCTAGCACAGAGCTAGTTTCCAGTAAACGATAGCCATTATTATATAACAGAAACAAATCATTATTATCAGCTTAAGCAAATAAATGACATGCCTGCCCTAGCCGGTTTGGCTCAATGGATAGAGCATAGGCCTGCAGACTGAAGAGTCCGCGGTTTGATTCCGGTCAAGAGCACGTGCCCAGGTTGTGGGCTCCATCTCTGATGAGGGGCGAAGGCTGCGGGAGAAGCCCACCAATGATTCTTTCATCATTGATGTTTCCATCACTCTTTCCTTCTCCCTTCCTCTCTAAAATCAATAAAAGATGTTTTTGTTTGTTTTTAAGTGGTGTACCTAATTTTAATGTCAGGAAAGAAAAAGAATTATTTCCCTAAATATTTTTGTCTTTATCTCTTTTTCCCATATATCTCAATTGTAAAAATATGCATAACATAAATTTATCATTTTAACCTGTTTTTTAATTGTAAAATATGCATCATATAAAATGTATTATTTTAAGACTTTTTGAGTGTACAGTTCGGTAGCATTAAGTACACTGACATTATTGTGCAACTCACACCATTACCCATCTCCAGCACATTTTCATCATCTCAAATTGAAATTATGTAACCACTAAACAGTAACTGCCCCCATCCTCTAGGAACCACTATTCTACTCTCAGTCTCTAAGAAGTTGACTATTCTAGGTACCTCATATAAATGGAATCATAACAATATTTGTCCTTTGGTATCTAACCTTTCTTTTAGCATGTTTTCGAGTTCATCTACACGTAGCATGTGTCAGAATGTCTTTCCATTGTATGCATCTTTTGATCTATATCTTTGACTTATTCTGGGAACACCTGATTCTTCTAATGTTCCTTAGGAACATGTGGTACATGGGATGAAGTTCGTAACATGGTTCACAGGGCTTAGGTAATGTGGCTCCTGCCCACAACTCCGGAGGCAGACAATGCTCATATTTCTCTTGCTAAGCTGCAGCTAAGTCAAACTACAACCGTTCCCCTAAAGAACAAGGTGGGTTCCAGTGTCTTTACCTCTGTGTTTACTCTCATCATTCCCTCCATTTGGGATGCTTTTTCTCTCTCCCCGACCCCTGTCTCCTGAGAACTCTTACTTTTCATTCAGTATTTAGGCAAAACATTACCTCCTCTCTGGGTGCCTTCCTTCACACTGCTCTCCACAGAATTGACATCTCTCCTCTGTGCCCCTCCCACCCCATCTTTGTGCGTCCCCTTTATAGAGGCTCTGGAATGACATGTTTATATGTCAGTCTGTTCCACTAGACAGTGAACTTCTTGAGAACTGGGAAAGGCGGGGACACCTAGGACAGTTTACTTGTTTTTATTAAGTGAACCAATGAATGATAGAACTTTTTAACAGTGAGGAAAATGGCCAAATTTCTTTAACTGCTAGCAACAGAAGGAAAATAACTAGAGTTACATTTTGAGAAACATCCCTTGTGAAAAAATTATTATAAAATACTAGAGGCCCGGTGCACGAGATTCGTGCACTTGGGGGGGGATGTCCCTCAGCCCGGCCTATGCCCCCTCACAGTCTGGGAGCCCTCAGGGGGTGTCCAACTGATGGCTATGGCTGCCATAGCTTCTGGCATTGACCACTAGGGGGCAGCTCCTGTGTTGAGCGTCTGATCCTGGTGGTCAGTGCACATCATAAGGACCGGTCATTCTGCCGCTCAATTTGCATATTAGCCTTTTATTATATAGGACTGGAGGCCCGGTGCACAAAATTCGTGCATGGGGGGGGGGTCCCTCAGCCCGGCCTGCACCCTCTCCAATCCAGGACCCCTCGGGGGATGTCTAACTGCCGGTTTAGGGAGTCGGACATCCCTCTCGAAATCTGGGATGGCTGGCTCCTAACTGCTCACCTGCCTGCCTGCCTGATTGCCCCTAACCACTCTGCCTTCCTGCCTGATTGCCCCTAACTGCCTCTGCCTGCCTGCCTGATTGCCCCTAACCACCTCTGCCTGCCTGCCTGATTGCCCCTAACCGCCTCTGCCTGCCTGCCTGATTGCCCCTAACCCCTCTGCCTGCTGGCCTGATCGCCCCTAACTGCTCTCCCCTGCTGGCCTGATTGCCCCTAATCACCTCTACCTCAGCCCCTGCCACTGTGGCTTTGTCTGGAAGGACATCCAGAAGACATCCGGTCTATCAGGTCTAATTAGCACATTACCTTTTTATTAGTATAGATTAATGTCCATCATAACAAAAGCAAACAAGCAAAAAAAAATATCACGTAAGTATCTTCTCCTCTTCCTCTCCCACCCCAACCCCCTCTCAGAGGAAGCAATTGCTAGCAGTTAAGAGGCTTTTCTGTGCATATATGAACACATATACATACACATCCCTACACAAAAATACTTACATGTATTTTCATTTCTTAACATTCATGGAAAGAACTAGGTAAGAACACTGATTCTCAAACCAGACACTGCCTCTGACACAATTTTGCGACCTTGGGCAAGTCACTTGATATTACTGTGCTTCAGTTTCCTCATCTGTAAAATGGGATAACAATAGTATGCACCTCAAGGTGGTGATGAGCATTAAATGTGTTACTAATGGTAAAGTACTTAAAACATAGTACACACTTTATAAGTGTTTATAATAACTATTATTATTTTAATTAGTATTGTCATTCAACTTTTCTCTTTTCACTTAATATTCCTTGAAGGGCCTTTCTGTTGCAATATAGAAAGTTTACATTATTCTTTTTTAAAAAATGGCTGCAGAGAATTCCATCAGCTAGATGCATCATAATTCATGTAACCCTCCCTATGAACATTTAGGTTATTGCCAGTTTTTCAGTTCATACACAATATAGCCTGGACTATCCTTGTCCACTCAGCTTTGTCTATTCAACTTGTGCAGGTATAAGTTTCTAGAAGTGGAATTGCTTAATTAAAGGCCACATTTTGTTTTATTAATAGACCTAACAAATTGGTCTCTAAAGAGGTTGTACTACCTTTATATTCCCACTAACACTATGAAAATAAAACCTTCTTTTATAAAGTCATATGGCAACAATGGAGATCACTAAAAGAGGCCAGTTCAAGTGCTGCCCTGTGGAGTATGAAATGGTAACTGTGATAAATTAATTGCAGTTACACAAAATGAAATAAAAATAAATCTCCTAGAAGTACTGATCCAAGCAACTACTGTTTTCTCAGCATGATTACATTATTGGTTAACAAATACTTAAGATCTACCATAGACAGGCCAAGAACTGTGTTGCATTTTCTCAACACCAGTAATGATTTGTGGACCTTCAGTAAAATGCTGTTATGTCTGAGGGAGTCAAGCAT